CATCACTCACACGCATCACCACACACCACACACATCATTAACACGCAAGTCACCATAACACATTGGGATTGTGACACCTTTCTTAGTTTCTTCACCATTACCAAACTTGTCCCCACTCTCCCTCACTCACCGCCACCACCACCCCACACCACACCACCACCACACCCACCCACCACCACCCGCACACCACCACACACCACCACCACCACCACCACCACACCACACCCCCACCACACACCACCGCCACCACCACCACCGCCACCACCACCCCACCACCCACCACCACCACCACCACCGCCACCACCACCACCATGTCATCAACATCGCCATGATAGACTTTGACAGACTGACACCCAATTAGCACTCTTAGACCATTATTCTCCCCAGAATCTCCTTTTGGCTACGGTCTGTTTTCTTGACCTACGTGACCCGAATGTCGATAAGAGAGGCGAGACAATCGTAACACACAGGCGGTTTTAGAGGCGATTATCCACGTTGATGGTATTGTAGTGTGTACCTTACGGGGGTTGATCGGTAAATACTCTTCTTTGTTGTTTGGTTTATGGGCTGTATAGATTGTGTGTGTGTGTGTGTGTGTGTGTGTGTGTGTGTGTTATGGAGTTAGGTGTCAATCTATTTCTGTAATATTTTTATTTTTCATCTGTATCTACGATCTTATTTCGTCATTTATTTTTGTTTTATAGTCTATCTGTCTATCTATCTATCTATCTATCTATCTATCTATCTATCTATCTATCTATCTATCTATCTATCTATCTATCTATCTATCTATCTATCTATCTATCTATCTATCTATCTATCTATCTATCTATCTATCTATCTATCTATCTATCTATCTATCTATCTATCTATCTATCTGTCTGTCTGTCTGTCTGTCTGTCTGTCTGTCTGTCTGTCTGTCTGTCTGTCTGTCTGTCTGTCTGTCCAGGGGAATCGTATTATTCCGTAATATAAAAACATCAGGTGGTATTTACTCATGTTAAATTAGTTTCAAATTTACTAGCTTGGGAGGTGCTGATGGTGGTAATGGTAGTGATGGTGATTGTAGTAGTGATGGTGATTGTGGTAGTGATGGTGGTTGTGGTAGTAATGGTGATTGTGGTAGTGATGGTGATTGTAGTAGTGATGGTGATTGTAGTAGTGATGGTGATTGTGTTAGTAGTAATGGTGATTGTGGTAGTGATGGTGGTTGTGGTAGTGATGGTGATTGTGGTAGTGATGGTGATTGTGGTAGTGATGGTGATTGTGGTGGTGATGGTGATTGTGGTAGTGATGGTGATTGTGGTACTGATGGTGATTGTGATATTGATGGTGATTGTGGTAGTGATGGTGATTGTAGTCGTGATGGTGATCGTGGTAGTGATGGTGGTTGTGGTAGTAATGGTGATTTTGGTAGTGATGGTGGTTGTGGTAGTGATGGTGATTGTGGTAGTGATGATGATTGCGGTAGTGATGGTGATTGTGGTAGTGATGGTGGTTTTGGTGGTATAATATGGTGACTGATGATGATTGTTGTTTTGGTACTAAGGGTAGGGTATGATAATGGTATTTGTGAGGACATTATTAGGTGGTGGTGGTAGCTGGGTATTGAGGGCAGGCAGGGTACGATGGTGTTGGAGTTGGCGAAGGCAGGGCAGGGCAGGGCAGGGCAGGGCAGGGCAAGGCAGGATGTTGGTGGGGTTAGTGAGTGCAGGTTTAGGTGGTTGTGAGGGGCAGGCAGGGCAGTGCAGGGCAGGGCAGGGCAGGCGGCGGTGGTGGTGGTGGGTGGCTACAGGAGACAGGCGGGCGTCGGTGATGGCGGGGTTGTCGGCCGTCCTTGGTATTGCGGGGTCAAGTCTCCTCACTAGCCCGGGGCGGACAAGGCGAGCAAGGTCGCTGCCGCTCGCAGGAGGGAAGGTGCACCCAGTTAAGGTCCGTTCTTGTGTTGGTAAATATTCGCGGAGGACAACATGGTAATAATCATGAAGGATCTTTCATTCATTCACTATTTAGTACTATCGTCTTCATTATTTGTTTGCTCCTAGTTAGGACGTGTTTGCTTTTTCCATAAGATTACTATCATAATATTTTAAGAGTAACACACTGAGGTAACGAAGCAAATAGTAAGGCTTAAGTTGTTGTCACCGTGGTCAGTGCGGTGTCATGGTTTAAGTCAAGGGCACGGGTGTGTTCGCTCCGCCAGGTGTGCTGACCACGGCGTCCGTCACTGGTGGCTGGGGTTGTCCTGCTGGGGAGGGAGAGGGAGGGGGAAGGTTCAGGCCAGGAAGTCCCCGGATACCAGTGGGAGGAAGTTACTTAGACGTGAGAATTTGTGGAGGAGTGTGATGCTCCGGGTCATCCACGTCGATGTTTCCTTAACTCACTAATGTCTTTATTCTGTATTAGTCGTAATATATATTTTTTCATCTAAATCTTAACAATCAACGAGTAGAAACCAGGTATTTGCTAACGAATTTACTCTCTTACCTGACAAGTATCACTATATCTATGTTGAATTACGGTGTCCAGGATCTGAACAACATACAATAAGATAAACTTTCGTCTCACTTCTTAATAGTAAAAGTAACAGACAGATATTGTTTATACGGAGATTAAAAGGAGACAATATACCGATATCAAACTGGGTTTATAGACTTGTTTATGTTTATGACGGTAGTGGGTGATACGTCCTTTACAGTAAAATAAATCAGGTTTTACTCCGCCAGCAGTTGTTCACCTGCGTCAGGGCCTCTCTCAGGAGGAGACCGCTGACCGCCGTAAATTTATTGATTGTTATCTCCGTCAGACTCTCATATTCACCCCTGTATAATTTCAAGGTTTATTTCTGTGAAGAGTCTTTGAATGTAAATATTAATCAGAGAACTCAATAAGGAAATAACACTATATGTACTCCAAGGTCGAACAAGGTGACAAAGAACATAACCAAATTCTTGTAGTGGCTCACTAGAATTCGATACAACCGCTGTAAGGCGTTCACTATGTTCACTTGTACGGATTATGTCTAAATACTCAAGACTATATTACCTTCTATATTCCGCACCACGAGAGAAACCTGGATCATTACTTGTAGCGTTGAAGGTTCCAAATAAGTTTATGACCTACAAAAGACAAGAATGAACCTATTTATCTATCAAACCACGAATGTATGCTCCCAAGATCTCCTGCTTGCTCAGGAGTGATCTCACAACACTGCAGGCTGTTGGATCTAACAGGTCGAGAGATAAGACCAGAGGGAGAGAAGAGCGGATGAGAGTATTAATTATTCAGGAGTGGTGTTGAGGGGCTGGCGGGGTGTGGGGCGAGGCTGGCAATGCTCAACGCTCGCCCAAGACGGCAAGGATAGATTGATCGCCGGATAGTGCGGCCTCATCAGTCCATCCATTGGCTTTGTACACACCCTGCGTGGGAGAGACTCAGGCAGACCTTCCACGAAGAGAAAACTAGAAGCAAATATACAGTAGTGACCTTAAGTTACCTTAAGGAGTTTAACATCTTCTTTATCAAATTTTACACAAGCGGATATTTAGTAGTAATAATAAATGTTCAACCACGTGAAATGGAAACAAATATATTACTCTTTTCAATAAAATCTAGATGAATCACTTAGTAACACCTCATACATGGTGATGCGCGCAAAGCTATGTAGTACTGGGTCGATGTTAGTGCCAGGGAATCTCAGCTAGGCACGTTTGTGACATGGAGAGCGATACAAAGGAGGGTTCAGCAGTGAATGGTAGTGACAAAGTAGGGGTACAATACGGTCTCACTCAGACATGACAGTGATAAGGTAGCGGGACCAAAGTAGGTTCTATGAGACATGGTACTGATAATGCAACTGAGGTTTGGGTATTATATGGTAGTGAAGGGAGGTAACGGTACGATGTGAGAGCTTGTAAGACATGGTGGAGACGTAGGTTACAGTCAGGAAGGGTTAGTAGGAACACGGTAGTAGAACGTCTGCTATCACACGGGGAAGTCAGGTGGGATATATTAGTGGCGTGGATGGTTGTATAATGAGTATTTGAACAGACCTTAGGAATTGAACACGCTGTATTAAGACATTGTAGACTAGCTGATCCTATATTATAAGTACAAAAATAATGTGATCTTGAATCCCCTTGTGTAAACTTACGTCGTGTGGTTATTGTAAACGAAAATTTTAGATCTTGATTATATACGTGGTCCTTGAGCTAGTCTACGAGTGAATGACGATTTAACAGTTGGTGCTGCAGGTTCGAGTCCGGTGTGTGAGACAAGAGTGGTGGGACAGTGTTGGGCGAAGCTGACGGAAATAAGCAACGCAGGAGCGATGCGTCAGCTACAGGGGCCGCGTCGCGTGCTACTGTGCGCTGCTGGCGGGGGGCGAGCTACGGCGCGGGGGGCGGGAGCCGTGCTGACGTCACACCGCCAATCCCGGGCGTGACGATGGGTGGGGGGTGGGGCCGACTGTTGGAGGGGGAACTACAGCAGCACGCACCCCCTCACGGCAGCACCTAGAAACCCCTCTAGCTACACCACATCCACAGATTGCCTCAGGGGCTATAGTTAAATCTCAGCAAGTCCAGTAATATTATCACTCACTGTTAGCACAAAACCCTTCCCCTTTCTTAGTAAAAACACTTTAAAAAATGATAAATATAACCTAGAATGCGAATAAAGCAACGATAGTTTGCTGGAATAGCTTTAGCAGGGAAGGTGGCCGAAGAAGTATCCGGTAAGCGTGACGGGTGTAAGGGGCGGGTCGTGGGGGAGCTGGTTGGGGCGGGCCGTTCAGGTGGGGGCGGTGCAGGCCAGGCGAAGGGGGCGGGCCGAGCAGCGTACTCCAGGGCGGCCGCAGGGGCCCGCTCTCTTCTGCACAGTTGAGTGGCAGCCGCTCGCTCGAGCAGTCGCGCGTTACAGTTGCTCTTGCAGCCACTACCAGACCGAACCTGCCCGTGTCCCAGTGCCTCAGTGTTCGGTGGATATCTCGTTGGTAAGACCCGATCTCTAGAAAATCTTTTGTCACTCGGAAGGAGCTGGAAGAATACCTAAGAACACTTTTATCCCTGGATTCTCAAAAGAAAGTTTGGAGATTTTAATCCAGAAACTCGTGTGAGTCAGAGTATTAATTCTTTGGTTCTTGAGGTGTAAGGTTGTCCTGTGTGAAGGATGAGCAGTCAACGAGCGATAATCCGGCTCAGGAACACCACTCAGTAAACAGTCAGTAACGAGGCAGCACCAAGTGACTTCTTGCTCAACACCTCAGTGAGCTGACTGACTCAGTGCAGGATCGTATATGGCTGATAACTCGCCAGTGAACAGTGACTCAGTGTATTTCTACCAAGTTTTTGGAAATATTCTGCAGTCTTCGAGGGAATCGCCGCAATTGCAAGTACAACTCCTCTTACTGAGAGTTTGCGCTCTCTGCTCTCCTCTCCAGCATTCGAAAGTATATGTTTCCACTTGGCTATCGAGATGAAAATTATATATAAATTCATGCATTCGTATATAGTTTGCATTGTTTTGTATAGGAAAGTTCGTCGAATACCAGAGATTTGGTGATTTCAATGCGTACTAAATAATGATATCACCTGACTTGCACTACAGACCTTTAACACTGCAACTTATGTGAAGTCATGCACAGTGTTGCGAAACCTCTTTTGGTTTTACTATAAATATCTAAACATCCAATTTTACCAGGCATTATGATATGAAATTTTATTAGTGTAAAATATCATGTTAGATCAAATGATTCTGAGTGAAAAAGATCGCGAACATTTAATATATTCCGTTAAAGCAAAGAAGATATTATCAGCAGAACTTAAGAGTGTTAATTCAATATCGCTTGTTATAGAGCACATTGTAAAAACCCAGGTACTGTAAGACTACGCCAATAGTTTAGTGCCTCCCCCCCTTTATAGCGGCCACAATAAGGTAAGAACGCTCAAGAACCTGTACTGACTCCATAAAATTCTATATTTGTAAACTTGTTGACAGCCATCTTGCGAAAAAACGAGCAGGCTCATTGAAGTTTGCTGTCATGTTAATATTCATAGTAACGTTCTATTGTATGTCTACAATCTGATAAGAGTTATTTATGACCAAAACCCCAATATCCCTGATGCAAAAATTCTGCAAACTCTTATCTAACAAATGTGGGCGCATTATTAGCTCATAGATAAAACGATGAGGGAAATCAAATAATACATTAATATCGGTCAAGGCGTAATACTCTAAGTGCTTCGTGGTGGAGACGTCTCAGAGACCTTTAAATTTTGACGAGCAGACGAGCTGTGCGACACCAGCTGACGAGTCTTGTGAGCCACTGCATCAACACTGAGGGTGGCCAAAAGGGAAGTTATAATGACAAGTACAAAGTACGGTCAAGTGGACCCACCACCTGGTCACTCCCCACCCCGGAGGTCTCAGGCAGGAAGGGAGGAGGGAGACAACCACGATATACTCTACGGCAACTGATCGCCAAGCTCCGACTTCCCTGGTCCTATTCTTTCCACCTTAACATATTTTACTGCGTAGTTGTGCGAGAGTAAGCAGTTCTATGTTGCAAGTGTCTGAAAGCGCTTTGTAACAAGTGCATCGTGGTTCTAAATATATGTCCTGTAGTGTTGGGAGATGATGGCATCTTGCTGTCAGAGATATAATGGATGAAATCTAATAACACAAAATATGGTGATCACTTCTACAATATATCATTAAACCGTAATGTTAGTAATTGTCATATTCGGAAGTGCAAGTTGTTTTTCTTTTTAAGGATCACTTACTAGAAAATCTCTTTAGTTTCTTACAACATTCTCGTTAGGTATTTTTTAACTCTTCGCAAACTTTTACTTAAGTCAATAGACTAGTCCAAAGAAGATCAGGATATCTACTTGATACATATGTCCCTGAGTTGTAATATAGTCTGTCGGTGCGATCACACAACCCAAGTTTTTCAGTTATATTTTTATATTCCTAATGTTCAGTTGTATTTTTAATTTTCGCTGAAGTAAATAGGGAAAAATTATGAATAGATCAGTACTATTTTTTCATTTACAACTACCAGATAGTTCTTGTAATCACCACCAACAACAACAACCTAATGATAATGAGGCTACTAACTGTCCTCTGGCTTCCTGCCCTGTAGAACAACAGACATCTGTGAAAAGTCAGAATAGCATCCCGTCAGAGGGGCGTTCATCAGGTAGGGTCCGCCTGGCTTTCCTCCCCCACCCTAAATGTATTCAGCTATGATGACTTTGAAATTACCCTGCGTGAACACGTGCCCATAGTCAGCTGGGGTCGTGTGTCGCTACACATCTGTCGCGCTCTCGAGTGAGAAGCTCCACCCCTCACTCTACCCTCCTGCCACATCCTACCCTTATTTATCACATTAGTGCCTCCATTTATACAAATATCTAGTGCGAATATTCTCTGATAATCGCGTAAGCTGGACAGTGTATTTATCTCCCCGTTGTCCTCAAAACCCCGGGCTAAATGAGGCAGAAATGAGAGAAAACTTGGCAGGTAGCCGACAACCGTGAACTAGCTAACCGCAGGGGTAGGGACAATACCACCTGCCCGCCAGTCTGTCCGCTTCAATTACCCCGGCGCCTGCCCCGTCGCCCCGAGTCAAAGGGAAGCCACAGAGGCGAGGGGAGGCTCTCAGCTCCTTTTGACTCACATAATGGGGTTATTCATCTTTATTCTGCGATGATATCTTCCTCAGGAGTATCTATGAGGGTGGCTAAGGCTTAACACGATCTATATCTTATTTGGGTTATACTTTGAGGTTTGGTTTGTTAAAATCTGGTCATAAGTATAAATTAATATAAATTTAAAGGTACTTATTTCTGAGCAAAACTTCGATGAAAATTACAAAACATGTAACAAATTTACAAATTCACTAAAACAGGAATAAGTTACGAAATTTGAAGTACAGGAAGACGTAAGGTTCAGACAATGCAAAAGTCATCTCCTATAGAATATCGAGGAAATTAAACGTAACGATATTATTACCCGTAACTCGTAATCATACAACACAAGTAATAAAGCCAGCAGCAAATAAATTAAACTCTGTCTGTTTTCCCCTCAACACTTCCGCCGCGATGGGGTGCACACACACACACACACACTAATATGGTTACTGTTGAGATATTAATACCTGTGTGCAGCCCTTATATATATCCCCGACATAATATACTTCTGTGTTTCATGTTATTCAAGAAACAAAAATCTAATTACTTTGCGTAACAATGATTCTAACTGTGTAAGTCTTAGCCCACATATCGTTCTGTAACATTATGAAAAAAAATATACAAAATAATCATGTGTTTAAACTAATGTTATTTTCATACGCAATAATGTAGTTTGAGAGACAACAGCTTGGGTGTTTCTCTGTCTCAAGGTAAAGTTGGATTCTCTCACGCATTTCTCAACTTAATACACTGTGAAGTTTGACGTTTTATATAGATAATTCCAGTTGTTAGTTCCCTGTTTAATAATTGGTATAGTGACCTACACAACACAAAGATAAAATGAGTTAGTGTAAACGGTCGTAGATATACTGTACTGCCAGGTAGAGGTAGACAAGGCCTGTAAATTATAAGGTATACTCAGGTAACTTCAGTAATCTTGCTTTTAAATTCATCTGGTTATGTAGTATTTTCTGATGCATTAGAGTTTTTATATCATACTGAATGTGAGTATTTCAACCTTTTTGTATAGTGAGGAACAAAGACAGTGACAAAGGGAGTGGATGGTAGAAGAAGGGATGAGTTAATATTACCTGAATTAACTTCTTAATTATCAGTGTTGTGTTGTGTCGCCAAGGTTAATTACTCAGGACTGTAGTATGTACTGTGGAGATGAATTAGTGTACTGAGAAATATTAACGCATTTGAGTACACGACCATACACAATAATTCCCTTTAATCATTACATAATTTGTAAGTTACTGACTGTTTGTAACTGTAAAAATATTAAAAAGAACGGAAATGATAATAGGTTGTAAAACATAAGCGAGGCTACAGCATTGAGTGTAATGGCGGTAACCCCAGTAACCGGACGTAGGAGTTGTTATTGGAACATAATCAGTACCATTACTTGTGGCAAAATCATCACATCAAGGCGAAAAATGTATGTTGGCGAATATACCCATTTAGCACATCAAGTTTAACACATGCTACAAGATGTTAGTCCTCCCGCGGCAGAGAAAACACGAAAGACATAAGTTGCGATATTTGATTCTAATACTCTTATGTTTCCTTCGTTTTGTCTTTTATTACTACGATATTGTAGTACTGTACTGTGTTATGACAAGTCGCTCCTTCACGTGATCAATATACTTATGATTTTTGACATTAAAACTTATCTTTCTTATTTTTCTTTCATAAGAATATATAGAAAGAGTATCGAACACTCTAAATTAATTATTTACCTGTGTGTATTACAACATATTCCTTAATGATGAACACTAGTAAGGTTACCTGGCGGGGTACAACAACAACAAAAGGCCAGGTAGGTACGAGGTACCCCTGACGGAAGCTCACAAGTGGTCATTACTGCCACTGCTGCTACTGGCCCAGTTCCGCAGGAAGCTGTTCTCTCCCCTAACACTCCCCTCTTCCATCAGCCCCTCCCTTTCCTTATCCTGTCCCAGAAAGTTTTATATATACCAAACTTGTCCTTTACCAGTAAGACCCCCTCCTCCAAATTTCCTTATCACAACTTGTTCTGTTCCTCCCCACACCTGAGTTCTATTTAATTATATAATCTCTCTTTAACTTGCCCAAGCGAAGTCAGTCGTCCCATTCTCGATAGCTTCATTAGTCGTCCCATTCTCTATAGTGTCCTCAGTCGTCCCATTTTCTATAGCGTCCTCAGTCGTCCCGTTCTCGATAGCTTCATTAGTCGTCCCATTCTCTGTATATCCTCAGTCGTCCCATTCTCTATAGTGTCCTCAGTCGTCCCATTCTCTATAGCGTCCTCAGTCGTCCCATTCTCGATAGCTTCATTAGTCGTCCCATTCTCTGTATATTCTCAGTCGTCCCATTCTTTATAGCGTCCTCAGTCGTCCCATTCTCTATAGCGTCCTCAGTCGTCCCATTCTCGAT